CTGAAATTCGTTTTCTTTCCACCAATTTTCCACCATTACAATCAAACGGACCCTAATAGAAACTTGATGTCTATTATTTTCAATCTCATAATCCTAATTAGGATCACAAATAATAAATACTCCTTCATATAAGTTATTTTAACACCTAATCTCCAATATCTAACACTTAATTTGGTTTCATTCTAAAATATCCAAGAAAGTCAGAATATTATCAAAAATAGCACTGTACTTCCAGACTACTTAAAATATGGCACCTGTCTTTTTTTTTAATATATATTATTGACAAAAATAGCACTCTTTTGGATAGAACTTCAGGAACAGCTCCTGTGTACTACAATTGCTCAAAAACAATTTAGAATTGCTTTAAAATGGAGAAATCAAACCTCAAATCCTTAATTTAAGTGTTTAACATCACATAATCACAAGAAAATCAAATAATACATCTTTATCTCACAAACCCATTCAAAAATTCCACTCCCTTCAACACTAATTTTCTAATAGACATTTCTTTGCTATATTCCTAATTACAACCTCAAATACATATCAATAACACATAATTCTTACTAAACTTTGAATTAAAGAAAATTTTCCATAAACCCTAAAAAATTCAAGTAACATAAATTTTACTTACCTCTTGAAAATAAAAAGAATTGAGGAACAAAAACTCCAAACGTAAAAACCAGTACCCTTTTTTTTGCTTCTACTTCTTTCCTTCTTTTTGTTCGTTCCTTTTTCTCCCCTGTTTCTTTCTGTCCCTGCTCTCTGATTTTGTTCCCCCAGAATAATAAGAATAGAATGGATTGATATATTTTTTAAGGTTTAAGGGATAAGGGATAACTATTAAATAATTGCAAGTTAAGTCACCATCCTTCATATAACACAACATTTAAGCCATTAACTTCCAATAATAAATAAGTACATCCCCAACTTTAAAATTTACCTATCTTAAACCCTCAAATATTGTCAATTGTAAAATAAACCCGAATAAAATAATTCACTCCATTTAAGTCCCTAATTAACTTTAACTTTAACTAATCAAACATTTGACCAAATAATTCTTGACTTTAACTATAAATGAGTGGGGTGTAACAGTTTCGAAATTCTGAGCCTGGGAACATGCTCTCGTGCGAGGGCTTGTCCATCGCCAACCGCACGCGGAAGTCCTAGTAATTGAGTTCTCAACACTTTCATTTTATCCTGTAGATCAGGCATGATAGCAACAACTTCAGCCATTGCTTTGCAAGCCCTTCGGCTTTCATCCAATTGGATGTGTAATTCATGAATTTTCGTCTCTGCCACCTCGACGTTTTCCTCGAGGTTCTCCACGGCATAGCACAACCTAGTAGTTGTCTCGTCAAGAGCATC